AAACAATTCCTTTAAAATACTGTACTTCTTTAATACTTTCTACAATATCAATTTCTTTATTAATAACAATTCCTTCTGATTGAACTAAACTTCTTTCTCCTTCAAACATAAGTTTTCTTGAATATTTTCCTTTATTTTCTTCTTTTAATGTTTCTTCAACCCAAATTATTCCATTAATTTTACTTTCTCCTTCAAATAATATTTCTCTTTTACCTATTCCTGTTTCATCTATCATTATTTTAATATCTCCTTTATATTCTACATATCTTAACATATTTCCTATTTCTTTAATTTCTTGATAAATTTCTTTTATATCATTAACTCTACGATGATAATCTATAGAAACTAAAATTGTTCTTTTATATCCTAATTCTTCTGATACTTCAAATTTTCCTTTTCGTGTTGAAAAAAACCATTCACTTTCATTTCCTTGTTTAATAACATAAACAACAATTCCATCTTTCATTTCTATATTATCAATAATATCACAATTATACATTTCAACTTTTGTTATATTATTGATAATAGAAAGATTAATAATTTCTTTATTATGAATATTATTTAATTGATTTAGTTGTAAACAATTTATTTTAATTTCCATTATTTTTTCTTAGTAATAATAAATTTATTTTTTTTTATAATAAATAACATTAATTAATATTAAATAATTAAAATAATTAAATTAAATTTTTAAATAATTAAAATATCAAGTGATGAAATAATTGATTTAAGTTGAATAAGTTGATCATGAAGTTCTCTAACCATATAAAAATGTGAACTTTTAATATTATTAATTCTTTTTTCTAAATCTTTAATTAATTTAATAATAATATTTTTATTATTTTTTGTTATTTCTACTTTATTGTTAATATCTTCATAAATTAAATGTAATTGAGAACTATCATTTTCAAATTGTTTAATTTCTTTATCAACTTTTTCTTTTAATTTAATAATTTCTTGTTCTTTTATTTTTTGTTCTTTTTCTTCTTTTTTTGTTTTATTTTCTAATTCTTTATATTTTTCTTCTTTCTTTTTAATTTCTTCTTTTTTTTCTTTTTTTTCTTTATTTATTTTTTCAATTTCTTCTTCTTTCTTTTTAATGTTTTCTATTCCTTCTTTAACAATTTGAAGATTTGTTCTCCAAACAACACATGATTGTTTAAGTGCATTATATCTTGTGATTTGATTTTCTTTCTCTTCTTTTTCTTTTTCTCTTTTGTTAATTTCTTCTTGAAGTGTTTTAATTTTTTCTTCTTCTTTTTTAATTTCTTCTATATTTTTTTGAATCTTTTTGGTCTTTTCATTATATTCTTTCTCTTTCTTAATAATTTCTTCTTTTATCTTTTTTTCTTTTTCTTCTTTTTCTATTTTTTCTATTATATTATTTATTTCTTCTTTAACTTTTTTTATTTCTTCTTCAATCTCCTCTCTTTTTTTCTTTTCTTCTTCTTTTATTTTTTCTTTTCTTTCTATCTCTGGTTGATCTTCTTCTTTTCTTTTGATTAATTCTTCTTTTTCTTTTCTTTTCAATTTATATTCTCTTTCTTTTTCTTCTACTTCTTTTCTTTTTTCTTTGTATCCCTCGATTATTTCTTCTTTTCTTTTTCTATATTCCTTGTGTTTTTCAAGATATTCCATAATGCTCTCACACATTTTAAGAAATCGTTGTTTTTCAACAAATCCAATGTCATTGATAATATCAAAATCTTCATATCCTAACTTTGTCATTACTTCTCCTAATTCTTTAATGTAAATTAATTTAGGTAATGAAATTGGACATGCCCCTTCAAGCATTCGATTTCTTTCTCGTTTTTTAATTTCCATACTTTCTCCCATTAATACATTAAATACTCGTCGTGCTATCGTTGGCGTTGGTTTTGCAAAATCTAAATCTTTGAATTTCGTGTCAAAATTACTGTTAAAAAACATTGCTATTTGTCTTGACGTGTGACTCATTTTTCTCTTTCTCTTTGTTTATTTAGTTCTTTCTTTTCTTATTCATTTTCACCCCTTTGGACTTTTATTATTATTCTTGTTTGTCTAATTACTCCTTCCTACTCTTCTTTACTAATCTCTTCAGTTCATCAACAATCATAACCAATTCTTCCTTAATTAAAAAAAACATTTAAGATGAAATGTTGATGAACGTTAATTTGATGATATTTCTACAGAATGGAATAATAAGAAAATGGTTGTGATTTTACAAAAGTATTGAAGTACAAGAGAAGTTATGAAGAAATATGGAATTAGAAATAAGAAACACTTACTAACAAAGAAGCCAATTGAATAATATAAATAAGAGAAATGAAGAGAGGAAGAAATAAAAAGAATCAAAAAATGAATAAGAAATCATTAACAATAATAAACAGAACAATATAAAAGAAAATTAAAAATGGATATTTAAAAGGAATTAAGAACATTAATATAATTAAAATATAAATTAACAAAAAAGATGCTTAATGTCTTAAATAATCAGTTATAAAATAAAAAGAAATATTACCAAGAATATAATATGAAAAGGTAATTAGTACATCTAATTAAATAAGAAATGAATTATGAGAAAGAAAAGAGTATAATAAACAATGAAATAAATATAAGTTATATCAAAAGGAGAAATAAAAATTTGAAGAAGCAAATAAAAGATTAAAGAATAAACTAATTGTTTTCATTTTATAATCTCATTCATCTTATTTATTTCATTTTTATTATCAGAAGTTTCAAATAAAAATAATTAGTAAACTAGAATAATAAATATAAATGAAATAAATAATATAAATACAATGAACAATGAAATGAATAATAACATATGATAAAATTATTTTATTCATTAATGATAAATTAACAAATATTAATATTTATAAACAAGAGATAAATAAATTGATAAAACAAATTTAGATAATATCTTTTTAATGTTAATGTTTAAACAATATTTTTTATCAAATCATATTTAAAATATGATAAAATATTAATAATAAAAGATAATCACAAGTTAATTTATCAACATAATAAATTTAAATAGATGAAAATAATAAAATAGATATTTAACATGATAAATGTATATTCTTATAATACAATCAAATAAAAAGAAATTATTGAATCAATAAATGAAATCATTTATAAAATAAATATAAAACTAATAATTTAACACTCTAACATAAATGAATTTAAATTTGAATATATTTTTTATATTATTTCAATTTAAATTAAAGATATGAAAATAAAGAATTAAAGAAAAATATAATTAACAATGTAATATGAAAGAAACAATATTAAATGAGAATAAAGAATGAATATGAAATGAAATTAATACATTAATATTTATAATTAATATTCTAATCTATTGATAAGATAATCAATATTATTAATAATTATTTTAATTGTAAATTAATCATATCAACTTTATTGAAAAATATAATAAGATAAATAGTATTAAATATAAAGAATATAAAATAAATAAATTCATATTATTATTTCATGAATATTAAATAACAGAAAAAGAATTCATTGAAAATATAAAGATAAAAATTAATTCATTTGAACATCAACAAGTCTGTTTGTATAAAATGTTCTTTTCAACATTGTAAATTAACTACTCCATTATATCTATAACTTAATTGATAACAATTTGATTTTGATTTATACTCTACTTTCAAAAAAAAACAATATCATATTCATTTCTAACTGAAAATATTCTACAATATATTTTTCTATATAATAATTTGTATATTATTGTGTTTAATTCTTAATTTTATCATTATACTTAATCTATTATTCGTCTCTAATGGTAAAAATTTTTTGAACATCTATATCCTTATCATCTTGAATAATAAGATCATCAACATTCATTTAAATTTATTTTCATCATCTATAATAATAAATAATAAATATTTTCTACCTATCATTCTTTTTAAATACTGTTTTATTTTCTTTGAAATCATTAATATTAGAATCAAATACAATATTTCATATTATTCTTGTTGTCTATTCTTCTAGTTATTTAATTTAATTTTTATGAATTATTTTTGATTGAATAATATCATTCTTTTTTTTTATTGAAATATGTTTCATAAGATCATTCATATTTTATTGTACATTATATTTGAATTCTTTAGTGTCAGTCTTATTTTTAAATTTTTTTTATCAATTTAATCTTTCAGGATTTATTAACTCATTTATTAGAGTTATTACTGGAACTATTTCATTATACTTTTATTTACTTCTTTTATTCAATATTCTCTATTTTATTTAACTAATTACTACTAAGTCATTCAATCAATTTATTATTCTTTTTATTTGATTTATTAAATTGATATTTCTTATTGTTTGTTTATTATCTTTGTTTCTTTGTAATTATTATTTCTTGTTCTATTTCTATATTTTTATTCTTGTAATTTCTTTGCTTTTCTTATTCATTGTTGATATTATCATCATTATTACGTATTTATTATTTCCGTTTCTCTATTTCTTTCTTTGTTAAAAATCAAAAAATAAAATTAAATAATAAAATCGATAAATTAAAATGTATTTTTAAATGATAATATTATATTCATTATGTTCATATCACTACTTTTCTTTTTCATTTTATTACAGTGTGATATTTTGTTATTATACTTCCTTATACACAATATAAATAATATAATTATTTTATACACTATTTTTTCATCAATTTTATTCATCATAGCAATCCTTTTAAAAATATTCAAGGTTTGGTGTATTGTTTCAATATGATAAATAATTATATATTTTTCATTTAGTTAAAGTTTTTAGCTATCTCAATTATTATTTTTATTGATACTATTGATTATTAAAATAGTTGTTGAATATTATCATTTATACAAATATCATTTACATTAATTTATATGGATATAACAGCCACTATTTCTTTTAGTTCGATTATTGTCCTATTATTTTGTTTATAGTGTTGGTTAAGTATTTTTTGTTGAAAACAATATTACATATTTGTATTTTGATGATTTTCTTTTCTTTTATAATTTATACTATCTTTTAAATATTGATATACAAAATAAGTCTCATTTGAACGCTCTTCTTTTCAATACCTTCTTTTATGTTTATCTATTACTGAATAAAAACTTATTCTTATATTATCTATAAAATCATATTTTGTTATTAAAGACATTTTTAAAATGTTTTATATTATTATTTTTTCAAAAAAAAAACTATTTGTTATGTAAAACAAAAACTTAAAAAGTGAAGAACTCGAACCAAAAAAATTACAAAAAGAAAAACAGTGAGAATGACAGCACAACCATTATGTGAATCAAATCTTCAATTTTTAGGAGGACATATTATTTGTGTTAGCGGCTATAGTGTTTGGTATATTTTTTTTATTAGATTCCAAAAATATTAATAATATAGAGTGACGAACGATTATTACTTCGTGGAATGGTTGAATTGTGTGGTGGTATTTACATGGAAGATATGGAAAGTAAATCAGTGACTTTTTTATTATCAAAGGGATTGACAAGTGATAAAGCAAGTCATGCCTTACGATGGGGAGTTCCGGTGTTATCTCACCAATGGCTTTTTGATTGTATAGCTGAACGACGCCTTCTTTCTATTAATCAATACGTCCTTAATTTTGATATATAACGATTGTCTGTAATTTATTTCACTGATAACTTGATTTATTACAATCTTATCTTAATTTTCCTAAACAATTTTATTTTTGTCAAAATAGAATGAAAAGAAAATGACTAAATTACATTATCTTAAATACAAGAAATTTAATATTCTTAAAAGTTGTTTATTGATAGAAACAAATCACTCCACCCATTTAAAGGCATTAAATTAATTTTCACATTTTACAAGGATTAGATATAAAACTTAATTTCAGATGAAACTACATTCGTTTTAAGTAAGTCTCAAATACACAAAGGAAAGAGAAAAACAAGTCTTTAAAGGAACAATAAAATAATTGTAAAAAGAAGAAAAGAAGTTCTTGGTTTTGTTAATGTTTGTAGTATTAATAAACAATAAAGTCAATTATAACTTAATAATAAAAAGTAGGTATAACCTTATCTCAACTGTTTTGTTATTTAAAAGAAAAGAGATTAATTTAAAGATAAAGAAAAATATAAATTAATTATTTAACTATTATAATAGTTTAATCTTTTTTCTCTCTTTTTTATAAATCAAAATAATATTTATTATTAATGAATTGTTTACAACTTTCTGAAGAAATTATCCATTTATTAATTAAAAAACATTTAACTTTTTCTTCAGCTGAAAGTTGTAGTGCTGGAAGAATTACATCAACCTTAACATCTATTCCAGGGTCATCAGCTGTTATTCGTGGAGGTATTGTTGCTTATTGTAATGAAATTAAGACTCAAGTCCTTGGTGTGTCTCAAGAAAATATTAATAAATATACAGAAGTAAGTTATGTTGTTGCACAAGAAATGGCAGAAAGAGTAAAACAAATAATGAAATCTGATTGTTCTGCCTCTATTACAGGATATGCAGGACCATCACCATCGTTAGAAGAAAGTAAAGTTGGTTTAATTTATATTTGTGTAATTGTAAAAGAAAGAATTGAAAAGAGAGAATTACATCTTAAGTCAGACCGTTTGAGTAATGTCAATGAAGCAACGAGACAAGTTTTGTCTTTATTATTCGAGTTATTAAAAGAAGAATAAAAGATAAAAAAAAAGTTAATTAGAAGTTGTTTTCCTAAGCATTTGTCTTCCAATTTCACCAGAACGAATTTTATCAATAATTTCAACCATTAAATTAGTTTCATTTTCTGATAAACAATTACCTCTTGTCATTCTCATTCTTTTCATTTGTTCATATGCATTTATTTTTATTAATGCTTTACTCATTAATAAATGTGCATGGAATGTAGAAATTAAACCAAAGAAAATTTTTGTATCAAAATAATCGAGATGTTCAGTAGTTCCCATACACCATGCAACTAAAGAATAAAATGATGATTGAGTTCTTTCTCCAATTTCTAAAATTTCTAATGCTTTATTCTTAACTCTACCAACTTCACTAGCGGCAATATTTAAATCGTCTTCAGCTAATTCTTTCATTATGTCTTTTAAATTATTTAACTCATCAATTAAAGAATGAACCGAATCAAGTTGTTCTTTTAATTCAACAAGGATTGCTGGTTTACATTCATTAAATTCACGTAATAAAATCTTAACATTAGAAAGATTTGAAATGATACAATCTAATAGTGTTTCATTAGTATTAGTTTTAAGATCTTTTAATTTTAAAAGACAAGTTAGATCGAATCCTTTATTACTATCAAATAAATTGAGTTGAGGATTATAAGAAGTAATGATAGTTAATACTTCTTTAAATCCAAAACTTTTTTTAAGAACTTTAATTGCAGTTTCAATACAAGATATTTTTTCATTAACTATATCTAATCTTTTTTCTAAAACAGTAACTTGTGACCAAACAGCAATTTTAGTAGGTAAATTTTTAGCTAATGCTAATCTTTTTAATAAAGTTTCTGGTATATTTAATGCTTTTGCACTGAATAATTGAAATGCTTCTGCTTCAGTAGGAATAATTTTTTTAACTAATTCAAATGTTTTAGTATCAAATGTTTTAGAATACATATGAGTGAATGCCTCAAAGAATTTAGATTCATTTGGTTGTTTTGCAAATAATACAGAAAGAGCAATTAATTTTGAATGGTCTAAAATGAAAGAAATATTAGTAACAGAAATTGAAGTAAGAAAAGAGGTTTGTAATTGTTTTTCTCTAACATGAAGGATTTTTATATCATCCCAAATAGTAGGTTTTTTTGGATTTGGAGTAAAAAGAATACGTCTCCAAGGGATTCTAATAATATTATTTTGTGGAGGAAGTTCAGGTTTTCTAAAGTGTTGATTATCAGAAGGTTTTCTATTAACTGTTCTTCTTGTTTCAAGGAATTTAGTCATTCTAACTTTTCCTCTAGGTGAATTTATATTTAAAGAAAGTGATGAATTTCCAAAGGAAGAATTTGTTATTTTTAAATGTTTTTCTTTAATTTCTTCAATTTGAGAATTTAAAGCAATTTTTTCTTTTTCAACACTTTCAACTAACACTTTATATTTAACCCACTCTTTTTTAATTTCATCATCTGTCATATTTTTAATTAATTTTAAAATATCTTTTCTTAATACATGTTCTTTTAATGGTTCTATTTCTTTTTCTAATGAATTTGTTTGTTTTTTCATAAGTTCTAATTCATCTTTAAGAATTGGTATTTTCATTTGAATCGTTTCTATTTCTTTTTTAATTATTTCAATGGTTCTTTTTTTAGAAATATTTTCATTTTTAACTCTTTTCATTCTATCTTGTTCTTTCTTTATCATTTTGACTAATGACTTTTTTTCCTTTCTTACATCTTCTCCATAAAAGTATTTCTCTAATAATGTTGTTTGCTCTTTAAGTTCTTTTTTACTTCCTCCTGATTTTAGTTCTTCTACTATTTTATGAACTCCTTGATATTTTAATTTAGTTCTAATTCCATATTTTTTTTCTTGTGGTGCAACATGTAAAATTCCATATAATAATGTTAGTGAATTTCCTACAGTTTCTATATCTCCACTTTTTAATAATCTAACAACATTTGCTAATGGTAACTCATCCTTTTCTTTTGCTCTCTCTTTTACAATCTTCCACATGGTATTAAATCCTCCATAATGAATAGCAACAAAAAGTAATTCAAGTGACTGTCTACAAACACTTGCAATTACTCCTTCATCAATCATTGAAAATAAAAATCGTATAATTTTTTCATTCTTTACTACTTCATTCATTCCACTATCAAAACTCATTGCACTTCTTAATATTGTTAATCCATAACTTTGTACATTTCCTTCATATTTCATTATTTTTTCTAAAACTAATCCGATACCTCCTAATCGTGTAAATTCACTTACAAACATTGTTAGTGTTATTTTTTGTCTCATAAAAAAAAATACTCTTTTTACTACTTCTGCATTTGGTGCTTTTTGTAATTGATCAAACGCTTGACGTGCTGCAAAATCTAATGCAAGTGAAAGTGAAATTGTTGATTTCTCTGGAATTGTTTGAAGTGTAGTTGGTGTAATAGGTAATCCATTCATAAAAATTGAATAATTGTCTGAATCTTTTAAATCAATTTTAGTACAAATATCAAAAATAAGTTCACTAAGTATTAAAACTGGATTGATTTGATATTCAAATGTTTTTGGAGGTACATTAGGAATATCAGTAATAACAATAACATTTTTTGGTTTCATTGTTTTATTGAATATATTCAACTAATTATTTAGATTGTTCATATCAAAAAATAATCTTAAAAAACTTAACAAAAAAAAAATCTTTTAGTTCTAAAAACTTATATCAAAAATAAAATCATATAACTTAAAAATTAAAACTTAATTTTCATTTTTTTTTAAAGAGGAACATTACTGTTGTTCTAGTCGTTTCTTTAAACGTTCAAAAATTTTATTTTGACGTTCAACACCAACAGTTGTTTCTTTAATTCTAACCATTTCACCTTCTTTAAAATCTTCAGAATTTCTTTAGGGATATTTATATTTTCTGAAGGGGTATTTCCTATTCCATAATAATTTTGATACCCTTCATCATCACACATTTCCATTTTAATATGTTTTTGGTCTTCACCATACCAAAGGCTTTGATTTTTTCTTTGATATTCATTCAATCCATTTGTATCCCAAAAAGGTTGAGGGCAAGGGATATATTCTTTAATTTTAAATGAGTCTTTAAATTTATAAACATTTGGTTCTCTTGTTTTTAATACATCAACAAGTTCTTTAAAAGTAGTTGCCGTAAAGAAGATTTTAGGAATTTCAGGTAATTCGCCTTTAAAAATAGAATTAATTTTTATTTGTTTTAATGTAGAGTTTTCTTTAAAATATTCAGCAATTGCTTTTCTAATTTCTTTGTCTTGTTCGTCCTTTGTTTTAGTTTTAAAAGATTCGGTGTTATTTAAATCGTTTTCTATTTTTTGAATAACAAAATTCATCCCAACTTCTTCCAAAGATCCACCGATAATGACATCCGCAAGACAATCAGCAGAATTTAAAGCGATAAATTGACCACCTGTCATCATAGCAACAGCCCTCATTAAATCTCTAAAATGTTTATAAATTGGTCTAATAGGTTCACAAGCAACTGAATAAACTTGAATATCATTTTTTATTGCTTTTAATACAACTTCTTGAAAATCAATTCCACATGGACATCCATCAGGATATCCATCATATTGAATATTAAATCCATGTGGTGGTGCGTCAGCAATCCAAATTATTACTTTAGCTGCATACCCTCTATATCCAAGATTAACTGCACAATCAAATGCACAAGTAACTGATTCAGGTCCATCCATTCCACCTCCGTATGCACTAAATTGATTAATTGAATTTTGAATATCTTTTATATCATTCATCCAGTCATATTTTTTAATGC